CTGGGATCGAGCCCTGCATCGGGCTCCCTGCTCTGCAGGAAGCCTGCTTCTCCCTCTCCCACTCCTCCTGCTTGTGTTCCTGCTCTCGCTATCTCTCTCTCTGTCAAATAAATAAATAAAATCTTTAAAAAAAAAAAAAGAACTTCTTAAACTCAACACCCAAAGAACAAATAATCCATTCAAGAAATGGGCAGAAGACATGAACAGACATTTTTCCAAAGAAGACATCCAAATGGCCAACAGACATATGAAAAAGTGCTCAACATCGCTCGGCATCAGGGAAATCCAAATCAAAACCTCAATGAGATACCACCTCACACCAGTCAGAATGGCTAAAATTAACAAGTCAGGAAACGACAGATGTTGGCAGGGATGCGGAGAAAGGGGAACCTTCCTCCACTGTTGGTGGGAATGCAAGCTGGTGCAGCCACTCTGGAAAACAGTATGGAGGTTCATCAAACAGTTGAAAATAGAGCTACCCTACGATCCGGCAGTTGCACTACTGGGTATTTACCCCAAAGATACAAATGTAGGGATCCGAAGGGGTACGTGCACCCCGATGTTTATAGCAGCAATGTCCACAATAGCCAAACTGTGGAAAGAGCCAAGATGTCCATCGACAGATGAATGGATAAAGAAGAGGTGGTATATATATACAATGGAATATTATGCAGCCATCAAAAGGAATGAGATCTTGCCATTTGCAACGACGTGGATGGAACTGGAGGGGGTTATGCTGAGTGAAATAAGTCAATCAGAGAAAGACATGTATCATATGACCTCACTGATATGAGGAATTCTTAATCTCAGGAAACAAACTGAGGGTTCCTGGAGTGGTGGGGGGTGGGAGAGATGGGTGGCTGGGTGATGGACATTGAAGAGGATATGTACTATGGTGAGCACTGTAAATTGTGCAAGACTGTTCAATCACAGATCTGTACTTCTGAAACAAATAATACATTTTATGTTAAAGAAAAAAGAAGAAGAAGATAGCAGGAGGGGAAGAATAAAGGGGGGGAAATCGGAGGGGGAGATGAACCATGAGAGATGATGGACTCTGAAAAACAAGCTGAGGGTTCTAGAGAGGAGGGGCGTGGGAGGATGGGTTGGCCTGGTGATGGGTATTAGGGAGGGCACGTTCTGCATGGAGCACTGGGTGTTATACGCAAATAATGAATCATGGAACACTACATTAAAAACTAATGATGTGATGTATGGTGATTAACATAACATAATAATAAAAAAAAAGTCTTCAAGGGGATAGGCAGAGTAAGTAACATCTTGCCGTGCAAATGTTTATATTTGAATGTGGCAAAAAAAAAAAACCTGTGTTTTAAACCCATTCTTTGATCTCTGCATGGAGGACAAGGTACAGAGGAGGTGGTGTGGGCATAAACCTGTACTCTAACAATGGTGAAAGCTTGTCGTGGTCACAGCATGGTGACCTACCTGTAAAAGTGGAAAAGTGATTTAGACTCAGTTACTCCCAATAAGCAAAAGGTGGAAACAACACAAGCATCCAGCTACAGATGAATGGATGAACAAAATGTGGTATATCCATGCAATGGGCTATTACTCAGCCTTGTTGTGGACTGCCTCTGGGCATCCCCCCAAAATTCAGATGTTAAGGCCCCAACCCTCAATGTTGTATATTAGGAGGTGGGGCCTTCAGGAGGTAATTAGGTCTAGATGAGGTCATGAGGATGGAGCCCCCATGATGGGATTCGTGTCCCTCTGAGAAGGAAAAAGAGACTAGAGCTCATTCTCTCAGTCACATGAGGACACAGCAACGAGGTAGCGATCTACAAGCCAGGAAGTGGGCCCTTACCAGACACCAGCTCTGCTGACACCTTGATTTCGGATTTCTCAGCCTCCAGATGGTGAGAAGTCAATGTCTGTGGTTTAAGCGGCCCAGTCTGTGGTATTGTGTTACAGCGGCACTCATGGACCAAGACAAGCCTTAAAAAGGAAAGAAATTCTGACACCTGCTACAACACAGATGAACCTTGAAGCCGTTATGCTCGAGCAGAATAAACCAGTCATGAAAGGACAAATACCATATGATTTGCTTATACAACACACTTAGAATGGTCAAATTCAGAAACAAAGTCGGACGGTGGTGGCCAGATGCTGGGGTTGGGGGAGAAATGGACATGAGTGTTTAATGGGGATGGAACTTGAGTGGGCAAGATGAAACAGTTCTGGAGATAATGGTGGGGAGGTTTGCATGACAGTGTGAATGTTAATGCCACTGACCTGTACACTCCAAAAAGGTTAAGATGGTAAATTTCATGTTATGAGTATGTTTTCACAATTAAAAAAAAAAAGAAAAAGCTAAGTTTCAGTGTATTATTATGGTGTTCATAGTAAGATTTAAAACAGCTCTGTAGGGGCACCTGGGTGGCTCAGTCGGTTAAGCGTATGATTCAGCCTCTCGGGAGGTCGCGCCCTGCATCGGACTCTGTGCTCAGCAGGTAGTCTGCTTGAGATTCTCCCTTCCCTCTGTCCCTCGCCCCCATGCTCTTGCTCTCTCTCTCTCTCTAAAATAAACAAATATTTAAAAAGAAATAAAACAGCTCTGTATGGTGAACAGGATATTCATTGAAATATAGATACTTGCTAAAATGAGGAAAGCTGAGACCCACCCCCTCCCTTGCAGAAGCCCCCGGACACGGGAGCCGATAGTTGGAAGGTGCCTTTCGGGCCCAGGAGGGCAACGGCATGCCACAAACAGTTGGCCCCAGATGCAGCCTCATGTGACGAGAAGCAAAGCCTTCAGCTTCTGCCTGCAAATGAGAATAACATGCTCTCATTCTCTGATTTGTCCCCCAGGGAGAAGAGTAATAAAAGAAGAACCCTCCCAGTCGAGGCTCTGGTCCACGGACAGAAGGAAGAAGGCAATCTCCTAATTGGTACCATATACATCAGGTCAAATAATTTTCTTACTTTCTAGCAACACCAACCAAAAACTTCACCCACAGTAAGAGCCACGTGCAAGATGGCATAAAAACAGTGAACAGCTCTGAGGTTACACACCTCCCTGCCTGATGCCCCCTCCCCATGGTCTGGAACCTTAGATAAGCTTATTTCCACCACTCTTACAAATGCACAGAGGGGCTCAGAGTGGGTAGGCAGCATGTCACAGCTGGTCAGAGTGGCAGGTCAGATTAGGCCAGCGAGCCTGGCTCTGAAGTAGCAGCATCTGTCAGAGAATCTGGTCTCTGCTCCCAGAGCAAAGCATCCGCGTGGTTATCTGGGAAGAAGGCACAAGGACACTCATCAATAGCATGGGACTTAAATCCACTCCACATCAGGTAAAATTAATTACATACTTAATTAGATGCTTACTTTGTACCAGTATAACATTTGCCATGGGCTTTTATATCAGTATAAAATCTATGGTCCAGCTCATACATGTTTTTAGTTTTGTGGGCCTTGTGGTCTCTGTTTTAACTGCTCAGCTCAGCCACGTGAAGAGCAACCAGAGACAACATGTGACTGAATGGATGTGACTATGTTCCAGTACCACTTTATGTACAAATACAGATGGCAGCTCCCACCTGGCCCATGGGCCATCGTTTGCCCACCCCTTACGTACGCGAACCCAGGGATACATTTCCAATTTATCAGCCATGACCAGGTATCCACCACTGGCCCAGCACTGGTTCCCTGCTGTGAGCCTCCCAGGCCAGGTGCTGGTTGCTTTCTTCCAGCAAAATTGGCAGGTGCATTCTGTGGTCAAGCTGCAGGATACCTCTTGTATGGTTCTAACTGGGACCGTTCTGCCTGGGAAATCTCGCATCCTTATGAATTTTGTCAGACTGTTCCTGTGACTACGACGATTCTTGGAGAGATGACAGATAGCTCAGCAGTCATTTCAGCAGGTTTGGTACTTCAGTCGGCTCTGGATTGCATGGACTCTTTCCTAAGAGCCAAGAGGAGGATGAGAGCCGAGGGGAGTGGGTTGGCTCACTGATAAAGCTGTAATTGGGATGTAGTGGGCAACGCAGTTACATTATGGTAGTGTTGCGTGCTTGGTTAACTTGGAAGAGGATTGGAAATCTAGTAACCCCAAATTAATCAATGTGTACGTGGGTGTTTGATTTTTTTTAAACAATCTAGTCTATCTTTTTTGTAAATTTTTTATTTAAATTCAATTTAATTAACGTACTATATTATTAGTTTCAGAGGTAGGATCCAGTGATTCATCAGTTGCATACAATACCCATTGCTCATTGCATCAAGTGCCCTCCTTAATGCCCATCACCCAGTTACCCCAGCTCCCCCACCCCCTCCCCTCTAGCAACCCTCAGTTTGTTCCCTATCTTTAAGAGTCTCTCATGGTTTGTCTGCCTCTCTGATTTCATCTTATTTTATTTTTCCTTCCTTCCCTATGTTCATCTGCTTTGTTTCTTTTAAGAAACATATGAGTGAAATCATATGGTATTTGTCTTTCTCTGACTGACTTATTTCACTCAGCATAATAGTTCCATCCACATCATTGCAAATGGCAAGATTTCATTCTTTTGATGGCTGAGTAATACTCCATTGTCTATATATACCACATCTTCTTTCTCCATTCATCTGTCAAGGGACATCTAGGCTCTTTCCATAGGTTGGCTATTGTGGACATTGCTGCTATAAACATTGGGATGCAGGTGCCCCTTTGATCACTATTGTTTGTATCCTTTGGACAAATATCTAGTACTGCAATTGCTGGTCTGTCTTCTTCTCAGTCAGCTGTCATTGGAATGGACAAATGTAAGGTCAGAAGCACTGGAGTTGGTTCTGCCCCCCAGGCTCATATGGTATGCTCAGAGGGATGACGCTTGGGTTTGATTTTTATTCAGTGTCTTACCTGAAGAATGGGGCCGCTGTCCCACACGGGCAGAAATGGTTTCAGCTCTCCATTCTCTGCGTGCGTGCTCACTCGCGTGCACTTTTGCCACTTACCTCCCCTCTTACAGCACTGTGGCTCCTCTCTCCTTTCTTGCAGATGGATGGTTTCTAGCCTGCTTCCAAACCCCACCTCGGCTGAGTGTTGGGCAGCCCTTCTACATGATCCTATGACTCTTGATATGGACGCAGTCCTGTCAGACTTTGTTCGGTCCACGGGGGCAGAACCTGGTCTGGCCAGAGACCTGCTGGAAGGTAAGTGGGCCTTGTCGTCCCCATGCCACTCTCCTGGGCAGAACAACCTCTAACCGGTGAAAAAAGATAAGATTTTTGTTACCTGATGGTGGTGGGACTGGGCTCATTAAGAGTTAAAAAAAAAAAAGGTGTTGATGAAATAATTTGTGTTATTCTTGGCTTTATTTTGAGTACGGAATCAATTACTCAGCTCTCTACAGTAAAACTGCAGAAGGCATTATTAGCTCAGCTTTGCTTTGCATTAAAGCTTAAAGACAGTCAAAATTTATCAGAAATTACTTTTTTAAAGGAAATATATAACAGAGCAAAAATAGTAGAACATTGAAGACAACACTTTTGTTGGAGAACTGAACATTTCTTATCTCTGTTGTGGCTGAGACAAAAATACCTTAGGCGAAGAAAAACCGTGTAGTAGCCAGTAAATAGATGGTAACAATTCATACTCAAGAAGGCTGAATTCCTCCTTAAACCTTAAGTGTAGATATCATTTGTTATGTGGAAAATGTGCAGTTTCTGTCTCAGGCTCTAAAGTGTACTTACTTTGTCTATTTTTAAAATCTTTTTGTGTACTTGTGTGTGGTGGGGTAAAGATGAGAGGGGGGAAGAGCCTGTCATAACTTCTCAGAATGAACAAATGTGTCAGAGAATTTGTAAATGATTTCTCTTGGCTTCAAATGTATAAACTGCTGTTTATGGAATTAGCTAATACTTGGTTAAGTTATTCTAAGTCACAATTATCCCTTAGTTCACTTAGGAAGTAATATGGATTACTACACATTTGTATGATGGTGGAGGTAACTATTCAAATCCCATGGAAAACTAGGAACTACCTCTTCAAGGTCTCTGAGAAAATGCCAGTACGGCAGCAACAACAGTGTCAATTTTAACTTTCCCTGAAGCTCCCAGAATTTCAAACAAACTCAGGGTTCAGAATAAAAATGCGTAGCGAATGTTTGTGATGCACATAAATCGAAGTGCGATTCTCACCACCCCCCGCAATGCCAATTGTTGATCCCCTCCCTGACAGTCCCACTGCTTTTCCTCCCTGAAGTGAGCAGCCGTGCAGAGAGGCAGGTGCAGAGTGAGGTTGGCAGCAAGAGCTGGGGCCAAACCCAGACCCAGCCACTTACTGGCTCTGCATCACAGAGGGCAGATTACTTTCTTCCCTTAACCTCAGTTTTTCCTGTATATCAATCCTAACCCTAACCCACCTTCCAAGGTGATTGTGCACATTCGAAGCCATGATGCCAAATGCTTGCTCGATGACCCACGGGTAGCAGAGACTCCAAAAGCAGTCGACGAAGATCCTGTTTGTCACAGCAGTGGCACTGACTTGCTCTGAATTATCTGGATAGCCTTAAGTAGGAAATGAGAGTTGTCAGCCCTTTTCTTCCTTAATTTTATATTTTTAAATGAAAATACCAAAAAATTGACCTTTTGGGGTATAGTTCTAAGAATGATGCATAGATTTATGTTATTACTAACACTCTCAGACACAGAACGACCTCGGCCCCCAACCCCCCATTTGCCTCCCTGCTGTGTTTGATCATCATGCCCTCTCCCACCCTGTCCACTGGCAGCCACTGCTCTGGCTCCTGTCATATTCACTCTGTCTCTTCCAAGAATGCCATATAAATGGAGTCATGCAGAACCTAACCTTTTGAAACTGGCTTCTGTTCACTCAGCATCACTATTTTGAGATTCATGCAAGTTGTGCATGTCAGCAGTTTGTTCCTTTTTATTGCTAAGTGCTACCCATCCTAGAGATGGACCACAGTTTGTTTATCCAGTTACCTGTGCAAAGGGAGTTTCAGTTGCCTCTGATTTGGGGCAGTTATGACTAGAGCTGCTCTCAAATGTGTATTTGACAACCGGGGCATCTGTGAACATCATTTAAATTTTTCCACGGTGCACACACAGGAGTGGGATTTGCTGGCTTATATGGTAACTGTATGTTTCACTTTACAAGAAACTGCCGAACTCTTTTCCAGAGTGCTGAACCATTTTGCATCTCCCCAGCAATGTAGGAGAGTTCCGGCTGTTCCACGTCCCCATCAGTGCTTGGTATTTCTTTTCTTTTTTATTATTTTCTCCATTATCCTAGGTGTGAAATGGTATTTCTCCATCACTTTGGTTTTCATCTCCCCACTGACTAATGATGTTAAATGTTTTGTTATTATTCTCCATATGTATCTTCTCTTTGGTGAGATGTTCATTCAGTTCTTCTGCCTATTTCTAAATGGAGTCATTTGAATTCTTGTGTAGAATTTTGAGAGTTCTTTATATATTCTGAGGATAAATCATTTGTCAGAGATGGGATCTGCAAATATTCTCCTCCAGTCTGTGTCTTCACTTCTTATCCTCTTGCAGGTACCCTTTGCAGAGCAAAAGTTTTTAATCTTGGTGAAGTCCAATTCATCATTTTTTCTTGTATGGATCATATTTCAGGTGACATGTTTAAGAACCTTTGCATGACCCAAGGTCGTGAAGATTTTCTCTGAGGTGGTCTCTTAAAGGTTTTCTACTTTAGATCTCTGACTCATTTTGAGTGGATTTTTTTAGACTATCTGGGCCAGAGCTCATTTGTATACATAGGGGGCTTAAATTGTTTCAACACCATTTGCTGAAAAGATTATCCTTCCTCCGTTGAATTGCCTTTGCACATTTGTCAAAAACCAACTAAACGTATCTGTGGGAAGCTAATTCTTTTTTTTTTAATTTTTATTGTTATGTTAATCACCATATATTACATCATTAGTTTTTGATGTAGTGTTCCATGATTCATTGTTTGTGCATAACACCCAGTGCCCCATGCAGAATGTGCCCTCTTTAATACCCATCACCAGGCTAACCCATCCCCCTACCCTCTAGAACCCTCAGTTTGTTTTTCAGAGTCCATCGTCTCTCATGGTTCATCTCCCCCTCTGACTTACTCCCCTTCATTCTTCCCCTCCTGCTATCTTCTTCTTTTTCTTTTTTCTTAACATATGTTACATTATTTGTTTCAGAAGTACAGATCTGTGATTCAACAGTCTTGCACAATTCACAGCGCTCACCATAGCACATACCCTCCCCAATGTCTATCACCGAACCACCCCATCCCTCCCACCCCCCACCACTCCAGCAACCCTCAGTTTGTTTCCTGAGATTAAGAATCCCTCATATCAGTGAGGTCATAGGATACATGTCTTTCTCTGATTGACTTATTTCACTCAGCATAACACCCTCCAGTTCCATCCACATCGTTGCAAATGGCAAGATCTCATTCCTTTTGATGGCTGCATAATATTCCATTGTGTATATATACCACCTCTTCTTTATCCATTCATCTGTCGGTGGACATCTTGGCTCTTTCCACAGTTTGGCTATTGTGGACATTGCTGCTATAAACATTGGGGTGCATGTACCCCTTCGGATCCCTACATTTGTATCTTTGGGGTAAATACCCAGTAGTGCAATTGCTGGATCATATGGTAGCTCTATTTTCAACTGTTTGAGGAACCTCCATATCATTTTCCAGAGTGGTTGCACCAGCTTGCATTTCCACCAACAGTGTAGGAGGGTTCTGTGGGAAGCTAATTCTTGATGCTGATTCTGATCCATTGATCAATATGTCTCTTTCTCTGCCAGTACTTCTCCATCTTGATTAGTATGGCTTCGTGGTGAGTCAAAGTCAGCATGATTCTTCTAGCCTTATTTTTCTTTTTCAAAAGTGTTTCAACTATTCTCTTCCTTTGCCTTTCCATACAAATTTGAGGATCAACTTGTGTCTCTCTCTAAAATTTCCTGCTGGGACTTTGATTGGAATTATGTTAAATCTGTAAATCAATCCTATGTTTTGCCTTACAATCAATAAAGTCAGTGTAGCCACTGACTTCATGTAGGATGTCTCTGAATTATTTTATCAGCATTTTGTAGTTTTTAGCATATAGATCCTATACATGTTTGTTAGATTTATATATAGGGGTTTTTTGAGCTATTGTAGATGGTATCAGTTTTTTTTAATTTAAGTTTCTAATTGTTCATTATTAGTATAGAGAAATATAACTGATTTTTGTTGTTGCCCTTGTATCCTACAATCTTGCTAAACTCAATTATTTGTCCTAAGGTATATGTGTATGTATACACCCTCCTCATGCATGTGTGTGCACACGTGTGTGTGTGTGTGTGTGTGTGTATTCCTTTGGATTTTCTGCATAGATGGTCATGTTGTCTCTGAATAGAGATAGTTTTATTTCTTACTCCAATGTATATGCCTCGTATTTATTTTTCTTGACTTATTGCACTGGATAGGAATTCCAGGAAGTAGGTAAATGGTAGTGGTGAAAGAAAGCATCCTTGCTCTGTTCTTGATCTTAGGATGGAAGCAGTCCCCCCAATAGTCTTTCACCGTTATGTAGAAAAGCTGTAGGGTTTTTTTTTAAGATTTTATTTATTTATTTGACAGAGAGAGAGCACAAGCAGGGAGAGTGGCAGGCAGAGGGAGAGGGAGAAGGAGAAGCAGGCTCCCCGAAGAGCGAGGGAAGCCCGATGTGGGGTTCCATCCCAGGACCCCAGGATCATGACCTGAGCCGAAGGCAGTCGCTTAACCAACTGAGCCACCCAGGCGCCCTAGCTGGAGGTTTTTGTAGATGTTCTTTATAAGGTGGAGGAAAGTCCTTTCCTATTTTGTTAAGAGATTTATCATGAATACGTGTTAAGTTTTTCAAACGCATTTTCCATGTCAATTGATATGATTAATTGGGGTTTTTTTCCTTCTTTAAACTGCTAGTAAAACAGATTATATTGATTGCCTCCTAATAATAAACCAGGCTGTCAGCCATTATTTAAAGATTTTTTTTACTGCACATTTTTCTTTTCTGGGACTCAGATGATAGGAGTCTTAGAATTTATTATTGTCCTCAGATCACTACAATTATTAAAAAAATAAAAGACTTATTTACTTTAGAGAGAGAGAAGAGGGAGGGGCAGAGGGAGAGAAAAAAGCAGACTTCACAGAG